TTCCAGATATGACTCATTCAGGAATTTTAGGATCAGAAAATAGCCCGTAATTATAAGCTTCATATTATATGTGTTATTGCATCTAGATGAATTAGAATTTTTTTTCATGAAAATGACTGACTCACTTTATTCGCTTCCTAAACAGAAAGAATATTTTCACAGAATTTTTAAAGTTACGTTTCCACTTTTGATACATATAAACATTAATCAAAGTACAATTAATTGACATGTCTTGGGAAGATGAGTCTTGAACAAATAAATTTCTGTGATTGACAAAGAATTTAACAACATACTGTACTTTCATGTGCTCATAATGAACATAGGTTATTACAGTCCAATTAGGAATTACTCTCTCAACTTAAATCTATCTTTCAGATGACTGAAAATCAAGATTCAATTTAGAAATGTTTTTGGTATCCTTAGTTTAATGCTTTGTTTTCACCATTTAAAAATTCCTAGTAATTTTATCTTTGAACTTATGTTTTGTTAAGTTACATCTGATGGGACAAATGGAGCGTTTGCATGAGCAGAGGAAACACACTCAGTATACATGTCCATGGCTGTTCTTCCCTGTTCCACTCATATATAGAATTCCAATGGCCCCAAGATGTGTGAGATATACTCAGCAAAACTCAAACTGAGTACAAGGTAAGCATGTTACACCTTTGACAGAGTAAGTTAGAGGCACTGACAACCCCAAGAGGCTGTTTTCCATTACAACCAGAACTTGCTTTGAATGAGTGCAAGAAGGCGACAACAATCAAGAAACTCTATCATGTCCTTTCTTGCTAGTGTTTCTCCCTATATTAGCTAACCATTTATTCAGAAAATAAAGACATTAAAGGAATTCCTTTTCCATTCAGTTCTTCCTTACTCATCAATATAGTAAGTCAAAGATAGCGTTGGAAGAATGAGCACATCTCAAGAAGTAAAATAAAAAGTTGTGTTAGTTTTGGGCTGTGTTTCCCCTGTTCTGATAAGAACAAAACATATATGCACAAATTACAAAATACATAATGCACTTACTAGCAAAAAAATGCAAATTGTATAATTTTTTGATTTCACATATGAGTTAAATGCTCTTTTGTTTGCATTTAAAACTAGCACGGCATAATGTAAAGATAAACAGTAAAATTGATGTTAATAATTTTAAATGTTTATTTTTCTTAGAATGATATTAAATAGCAAATAAAAAATACCATGACAAATCCAAAGAGAGGACATCAAAGAAAGGAGATAACTTTATATAGTGTACCTTTAGTGGTGCTTCTTTCCTGCTTTTTGAATAAAGGCCTATACATTTTCATTTTGCTCTGGGCCCTGCAAAGGTTGCCAGCCACATCTGTCCCTTTTTCTGGCTTCTCTCAAAAGTTCCATCAGCCACGTTCTACAAGAAGTCTTACCTGATCCCCTCAGTTCTTTGTGGGCTATTGTGGCCTCCTCGCCAGCAATCACATAGTGATTTCTGTTTATATATTTCTCATTACACTTTTGCTCTTAAATTAGAGTTAATTTTGAACATGTCATCTCCTCTAATTGTCTTTCCTGAAGGGCAGGGACAGACTTAGCATTCTTACCTGTCTGGCCATGGACCAGAATCATTGGAACCCTCATAGCCAAAATAAATTCCAGGAACTAATAATGAACAGATAGAATCCGAATCTCCAGGGCTGGGTCACTTCTCACAGCTAGCTTGAGAAGTAGTTGTTGAATGAATGAAAGAATATCAATGGTCCCAGAACCTGGAATGGTCATTCCCCTGTTTCCAACATTCCCTGGTAAAATATGGTCTATTCTTGATGGAGTGTTTCAAGTGCTACCTAGTTCTGTGAAATCTCCCCTGATTTTTACCCTCACCTTCTACACCCACATCTTTAACTTCCTGACCTCAAGTCCTTACCATAGAGTAATTATCTCTGACACCGAGGAAATTCTAATTGAATTTTACTTCTCTTATTAAACTCTGGTAACATTGAGGGCACAGCAGAGTGGGGACTAGGGTAAGGCAAGTGATGACTTACCTTGGACACAAAATTTAAGGGAATGTCAAAAACTTCTGTAATCAAGAGAAATTATATTTTAATGCAATATTTTAAAAATAAAAATTAATGCAATAATCATCCATGATGAACAATATATCAAAATTTTAAATAAAGATGGGCTTGACCCTGTACTGGCACCACTGGGCTCATTTGCTTCAGTCTCATCCCAGCTCTGTTGGATCCTATGTTTTATCCATCTTCTTACGCCAGTTGTTGTTGAAGGAATGAATATATGAATGAGTTGCTCCCTTGAACCAATTAACCAGCTTGAAATTTATAGATCCTATCAATAAAGATGGCTGTGGCGGAATGTGCTCATGGGTCATGAAAACAGGTTGGTTGTGTCTTCTCAAATTAGCTGGATTGAGACTGACGACCTTCAATCAGGTCCCCATAAAATTTTCCTCCATTGCACTTCCTAGTGTAAAATCAGAAAAAAAAAAAAAAATGCATATTCTGTTGGCAATCCTGCTTTACCATCATGCAGTCTGTAAGATTGCTCTGAGAGGGCGGATTCAAATGGAATCCTAGTAGTTCATGCTGTTTCAACAATGTTGCATTAAAATTTTCTTCCCCCATTGTTATAAAACATTATTGGATCATAGTCTCATGAATTGTTTCAATAATGCCACGTTATTTCATGCTTTTACTCTGTATTTCAGAAGTTTCCAGGTAAAACGAGATCAGAAAGACAAAGTTATTTGAACAAAGGGATGAAAAAGTGTTTATACTTCATTCTCTGTATGTTTCCTACTTAAGAAGGAATTTAGCTTCAAGTTATACTCAAAGAAAGAAAAATGTAAAAAGTTCCAGCAGCTTTTTAAGGCCTATCATCCACCATTGTTAAGGAAGATTGGCATCACGCCCACCTACACCCCCAAACCCCCAACTCCGCTCCCGCCCCACCCCCACCACCTCTCCTTATTACAAAACTGTTTACCCACTCCGCGGCCCCTGCGAAGCCTCAGCTGTCAACTGTTGTGGCCTATCAGAGCCAGGCTTTTTCCTCAGTGGCCAACTTTTCCACTCACAGTTAGCCACCAGAGGGCCCCCTGTTTGGAACAAATGTTGTAGACTCCGCAGCTTTCCTCCAACTAACCAAAACATCCCGGAGCAGCTTTGGCGCAAAGCTCGGGAACTTCCCTGCAAAGGAGAACATCTTCTCACAGCTACAAAACCTGCAAGTCCTATGGTGCAGATTTATTACGAGTAAAGAATAAAGCACGGATTTATCGCCAAGGGCCGAGGAGAAATACGGTCCAAGGAGTCTAAAGGGAGAGCCCCGCCCCCAGGGAGCCTCGAGGGTCAGCGACTTTCTCTCTGGAAAAGCTCTGAAACACTGCGCTTCAGGTGCCAGGAACAGTTTCCGAATTCCTGACACCTGTGATGGTTAATGCTGTCTGCAGGGGTGGTAGCAACTCACCCCTTTCCGTGGAATGCTCACCAGAAGCTGGAATAAAACACACGTCACTGGCTGGCAATCTAGAAAAAGTCCCCCGGGAAATCATCTATACGTTGTTCAGGCAGTTGAGGATACATACAGATCGTCATAGGTCTGTCACATTGTTATGCGAATAAATATTTATATTGAATAATGAGGCCGGAATTATTTTAATATTACCTATAAGAAAATAACTGTACTCTGTCGTCGAAATAGTTATGTTGCAACTATAGCTTCTTAAAGACTACATTTTAGCTTGTGGGGTACACACTATTTTTACAAGCATTCTTCTAGCCCAGAACGCAGCTGTCTGCTTCATTTTCTCCCAATATGAAACCCTTGGCCTATAGGGGTTTCAGAAATTCAGATTTGCTTGGGCAGAACTTTTCAAGAATATAAATGATTTTTGTCTTCCGGTTTAATTTGTCCGTATCCAGGACAAAAACAATTTAATAGGGTGACCCTTCTAGAACCTATGGAGTGTCACAACCCCCGGCACACATCCCCCAGGATATGCATAATGATGTGAGAGTGTCTCCTTCAGGGGCAAGCCAGGTATTTTGCAAACTTCCATGGAAGCAGGGGGATGTGATGGCAAAAGAACGCCAGACGGCGCGGCCGGTGGGACGCCCCTCGAGGAGCCAGAGCGCTGTATCGGCCCGACGCGCGCCACAAGTGGTTTGGAGAAAAAGGGAGGAGCGCGCCCGGTCAGGGCAAAATAAAGCTCGAACAACTGGAAGTCACCTCCTCCCCTCTGTCACTGGTCCCCCATTCCTTTCTCTTTGCCTGCTAGAGGAATGACGCCCAAACCTGAACCTCCGCGCGCACACAGCCGGGTGGGTGGACGCGCGGCCACCAAAACCACCGCAACGTCTCCATCTGGGGGGTGGGGCACCCTGGGTGGACGGCTCCGCTGGGACTGGGAAGAGAGGGAGCGGCTGAACCTGGGGAGGCAGGTGTGGAGGCGGCCAGCCAGGGTGGTGTGTGCGTAGGACGCGGGGCGGGGGTATGAGATCCCGAAGTGCCGGACAAGTCAGGGAGCCCGGAGGGAGCCGGCGGGAGCCTGGCGGGAACCGGGCGAGGGGCGTCG